AAAAAAAAAAAAAAAAATCCCCTTTCTCATTAGCTGATGGGATAGAATAATAGCTTGTTCTTATTAAATACTTATCTACATCCTTGCACCTGCATCTTTCATATATTAACTCATCTATTCCTCAAAGCGTCTTATGACATGGTGCTCTCACCATCATCATCCCTCTTTTACAGATGTGGAAACTAAGGCATAGAGAGGTTAAATAACCTTCTTAAGCTAACCCATCTGGTAAAGTAACAGTGCCAGGAGCCATACTCCACAATGCCTGCTCTTACCACTGGCTGTACTGTTGTTGCTGGGTCTTTAAAGGTCTCTTTCTCCAGGCACTGGTTCAGGCTCTTTTCATAAAGTAGCTCAAGAAATCTGCCTCACAGTCTTTGAGGGAGGCCCTGTTTCATGCCGGTTTTACAGATGGAGAAACTGGGGATCAGAGAGATTCAGTGGCGAGGCCACCGTTACACAGCAAAGACTACCAATGCAGTAGAAAGAGTGTGGGGCAGGAACACAGGGCTGCTTCTTGCCCATCTCTACTGATGGACATCTGTGCAACTAGGGATCGGTCATTTGAACACCCCCTCTCCTCATCAATCAAAGGGACTTTTCTTGGGATTGCTGGGAATATCACTGGGCTAACAATATCGGTATTAGCCCATGTGGCAGACAGGATTCTGGGACGTAATTGCTAGAAAAAGATGCTTGAATGCCAAGACGCTTATTTTCATTTGCTCCCAGGTTTTCACTGGTGCCTACCTAGCAGCTGTTGACTTAGTGAACTTTATGTTCATTCTCTTCCCAGTCTGTGGATCCAGATCCAAGTCTAACTCAGGTGAGTATTGTGGCCTTCCATTCCTGTCTTCATTTATCCATCCATTCAACAGTATGCTGAGTGCCTACTCTTGGTTATTCCCTGAGCGGGGCCTCTGCCAGGCACAGACAAATGAACGATGTCCCTAACTTCAGCCAGATGAGAAAGTCAGGGCTCTAAAACTTTAGTAGAGCTGTTGGCTTGGGAGGCATGTGCACCCCATGGGCAGCCAGAGAGAGGGGTTGGATTTCAGGTATTAGGGAAGTACTGAGTCTGAGAGCACAGCAGGAGGAGGGATGGCAGTGCATGACTTTGCAGGGGGGTGAATGTGATAGGTCAGCATGCAAGTCCTGATGGCCACACAAAGCCCCACAACTTCTGGACATGGATTCCAGAAATAGGCATGGACCATTACTGGCAGAGCAAGGGCTGAGATGGGATGAGGAGCTCTGAGTACCTGGTTTCTGAGAAGAGACATCAGTGTGCATGAACCCTTATCCAAAAGAGGGAATGCCTTTGTCAGTGGTACTGCGACACACACCCAGCTACCTGGTGCTGCTGGGAAGAGAAATGTTCTTAGAACTGTGCAGAAGAGTGTCTGTCTTGTATTCCAAAGAAGCTTTCAAATGCCGTCTGTCCTGCTCACAGTGTAGGTGGTGAGGCACAAACACACTCACTCGGTGTGTTCGGCCAGCTTGTCTGGGTTCTGCTCTGTGTGGATTGTAGAAGTGGCCAGGGCACTGTCCTTGGGTTCCTAGTCGAGGAAGGCACTGCTGTCTGCACACAGATACCTACAGTAACTGTCCTCTGCACTCAAGGAAGGAAAACAGAGCCAGGTATGGGGTGGGTAGGAAGGCAAAGCCTCTGGAAGAAGAAAATAACCCCAGGGCCTTGGGGCTGAGGGGGACCTGGCTGCAGGACCTTGGGTGGAGTTGGCACCAGCCCTTTCCGTGCAGTCATCTGGCCAGCTCTAGGTTCCAGGGGCCACATGGGAGTTTGGTGTCTCCTGCAGGTCGAGGTACCCGAGAGAGGAAGAGGAGGCGGCGGCTCAGGGCCAGTGTGTTTGCTCTCATCTTGCCCCTGAGCCTGGGCCCAGGCTGGGCTCTCTGGGCTGCTGTCCCGAAGGCTTCAGCCCCTGTCCAAGGGCCACAGCGGAGGCTGCTGGGGAGCCTGCTGCAGGTGAGGCTGAGTTACTACTATGAGGAAGCTGCGGGTGGTCCTGGGTGGATTAGCCTTTGCCAGTGTCAGGAAGAGACTTCAAAAGGCAGAAAAGGACTCATCAGGTTGGCTGCTTCTTGAGACATAGGGATAGTCAGTCCTCTTTGAGTGATGAGTGTATCACTTATTCTTACAGGAAAACACTGAAGTCCTTGGCTACCTGCTGGGAGGCATTGCTGCCTTCGGCTCCTGGGCATCCCGGATTCCCCCATTCTCCAGAATCGTGAGACTGGGGTGGGGCTGGGGCTGTGGGTCACATGGCAGGTCTTAGGGCATCAGGAGCATTCCAGAGGCTCCAGGCCGTCCTCACAGTCTCATGGAAGACACAGGAAGTGCAGCCTGGCCCTCAACACTCTAAGAAAGGTAGAAACAAGAGTCTGGGGTTTTGAAAGAAGGAGAGAAGGCTCCCACACTGTTCAAGGGAGTGGGGCTGGAAACTGTGCACACTTCCAGGCCTTGAGTGGTAGCAGCTGTCATGGTGACTAGGAAGGAAAAATGGGACCTGAGGAAGAGGGAAGGGCTGTCCGGGCACGAGGGAGGTGGAGAGAAGAGGAGAGGGGAAGGGAGGGGAGGAAAGGATCTGAGCAAGCCATGGGTCCCATGTGGAAACTGTCCTGCCACATGCAGGTGTTCTCTGCAGACAACTCTGCCACACTCTTCCTGTCTCACTAACAGGACCTGACATTAGGAAGTGAAACAGACCCATCATTTAGCCAAAAAAGAACCACTTACCCAGAAGCATCATGGTTTAGAGCAGGTTCAGGGGAACAGGACTCAGGGAATACAGGTGGCTTGTGTGAGACTTCAGTCTATATTGTGACACCAGGAATGTCCTGGGGCTGGGTCTTATCCTCAGGAGTCCTATCTCTAGACTAAGGGAGGGAGCAAGGATCCCTGGGCATGGCTCAGCTGCCCACTCTGTAAGTGGGCAGTGAGACCCCTGAGGGGGCTAGAACAGTGTTCTGACCCCTTGTATTAGCTCCCCAAGGTTGGCAGTGGAGTGGTCAGGCTAGGATGCTTGGACCTCTGGCCATATTCTGCTGCATCCTGTGCCATGTGGGAAGGGCCCACAGGACAGGGTATCATCTCCACCTTCAACCTCTGGGGCCTGGGGCAGAGCCCCCGCCTCAAGGCCAGGTGCTCAACTGTGCTATCTCTGTTCATTGGCCTTCAGCAAATGGTGGCCAAAAACAGAGGCCTGGGAACAAAACTAGTTGAAATGCAGAACTAAATGTCACATTCCTGAGGATTCTTTTTAAGATTTAAAATTAGAATGGGGGAATGCTGGTAGAGTGGTTCAAGTGGTAGAGCACCTGCCTAGCAAGCATGAGGCTGTGAGTTCAAACCCCAGTACCACCAAAAAAAAAGAACTAGAAAATTAAGATGGGGGAAAATCACCCATAACATGCTTTTCCCCTGAGTTTTTTCCACTCAGCCAAGCTCTATATACCTCTAAATACAATCACCTAATGAGCAACATAAATGACATACATTTTATATTCATATATTAAATGTTACGCAGTTCAGTATAATTAATATGCAGTTTTATGTGTATGCATTTAGATGTGATTTATACCTGCATAACAACTTACATATAAATATTCAGTTGCTTCTTATTTTTTGAACCATCATCTCCATTACTTGTTCTACAAAAATATCCCCTTGGCTTAAAAATTTTCAGAATTTTTTCTTGGCAGTACTGGGGTTTCAACTCAGGGCCTGTAGTTGGTAGGCAAACACTCTACCACTTGTCCCCAGGTCCAGAATATTCTCTCTCGTTTTCCTGACCTTCCCTGGTTCAGAACTGGTAGTACCGGCAAGAGAAGGGCTGGACGGTGGCTCTTTGTAATTCAGTCTGGCTCACTTTCCCTCACCTGGCATCCCAGAGCCCCTGCCCAGTTAGGAGCTGGACTCTGGGAGAGGAAGACCCCAGCTTGCCCTCAGGAGCACTCTGAATATGTAGAGAGTGAAGTGTTGCTCAGTAAAAGGCACCGTGCCAGGCCGATGTGTCAGGTGTGTCAGGGCCCAAAGACTCGCTCCCCATGGGGTGGAAGTGGTAGGGAGATGTTTCCCGGAGTTAAGTTGAGGGCAGTTTCTGATGGATGAGTAAAGTTTGCTGGGGAGCAAACCAGATGCCCAACAGAAACACTGCCTTTGGAGAGTGGTCATGGGTACCGGGTTTGCAGCCCAACCTGCTCTGCTCCAGAGGGGCCTGGGTCTGCAGGATCTAGTGTTCCTCCTGCCAGCCCCTCCTCTCTGTGCCCAGTGCCGAGGGAAGTCGTTCTCCTGCATCCATCTGTGGAGCCGGCTCCTGTCGGCCCTGGCTGGCCTCCTCTATGCCTCGGCCATTGTGGCCCATGACCGGCAGCCTGAGTACCTGCTGCGGGCCACGCCCTGGTTCCTGACCTCTCTTGGCGGGGCTGCGCTGGACCTCGCTGTATCCACACCAGGTGGGGGAGAGGGGACGGCTGGACTGCCCGCAGTCAGAGGAGGCCTGCGTCTCACCCCCATCCTGCCATGCTACCCTCTTAGTGGGCAGCATTTCACCTGGTGGCCAGGGGTGGTTTGAAGCTCAGGACAGGCAGACAGCAGTGTAATTATTTACAGTTTGGTGCGTTCCCTGTTTGAAAAAGACTGTGTCTGGCGCACTCTGAAACAATGGAGGGGGGTTGGAAGGTTCTGGTTCCTGGGGTCCAGATGCCAGGCTCAGTTCTGCTCCTTGCCGGACATCTCCTCCCATGAGTCCTGCTCCTCTTTTCTGCAGTCACTTTCTCCCAGGGCTGGAAGAAGGCTATGCATGCTGACCTGCCATGCAGGGTCATTCTTCCAATTGTCCTTTACTCTCTGGTGCTGGAGCCTGGGGTGGAGAAGCAGAGATCAAAGCTGACAAGTGCTGCTGACAGTCAGTGGTGCTGAGTGGCTTCCTGAGTCCCCTGAGTGCTGTCTGACAAGTGACCCTGTATGACTGTCACAAGGGCATGTGAAATGCAGCTAGAGGACTGGAGGCGGTGTTGGAGGTGCCAGCAGTGGGAATGGCACTGCTGTGTTTGTGGTGGGGTGTGTGGAAAATAAGCCAAAAATCTGAAATCAAGGCAGGTCACTCTTTGAAGGCTCTCAGGGAGCAGCTGTCCTTGCCTCTGCCAGCTTCTGCTGACTCCTGGTATTCCTGAGCTTGTGACCTCATAATTTTAGCTTCTGCCCTGTCTTCCCGTGGCCTTCCCTTTGGTCTGCATGGTTCCTCTTAACAAGACTCCAGTCATGCACTGGCAGAGTGGCTCAAGAGGTAAGAGCACCTGCCTAGCAACCATGAGTCTCTGAGTTCAAACCCCAGCACCACCAAAAAAATAAATAAATAAAAGACTCAGATTCCATTGCTGGCCAGCTTCATGAGCCAAGGAGTGCAGGTGAAACTGGAAAAGGAAAGAAACAGATTTAAAAAAAAAAAAAAAAAGACTCCAGTCACTAGATGCTGGGCCTACCCCACTCCCCTGGGACTCCATGGTAACTAATTCAGCACAAAGATTCTACTTCCAAATAAGGTCACATTCTGAGGTTCCAGGATATGAAATCTAAGGGACATTACCACCCACTGCAAGGACTGTCACTGCAAGTCAGACCTTTCAGGAAAGATGGCTTTTAGCATGTATCTACCTGGGGACAGGAATGCAGAGTCAGACCTGGCTCTATCCTCAAATGAGCTGTGTCTATCTGGGGACAGATCAAGGCAGGATAACTCTGGGGAGGGACAAGTACGGAGTAGGCAGGACAGAGTAGGCTCTAGGGAAGGGTGGGGTGAGGGGTAGCAACAGGAGCTGAAAGGGCTCCATTTCCTTGTACCTTAACTCCCACATCTCAGATCATTTTCCTGTCATGTGTGATGAAGAGCAAGATGAGACAAGCCTTGGGATTTGTCACTGAAGCCAGAGAGAACGCTGACACCCAAGCCCTTTTGACCTGTTCAGAGAAAGAGGATGAAAACCAGGAGGCCAGGACTGAGGACAAGGTCTCTTGGCTGGAAAACGTCTTGCCTACCACAGTGCTTACTGGATAGGGTGGACAGAGGCAGTGAGCCTTGACCAAGGCTGGGACTTGGGAATTCTGAAAGCCCCAGCACACTCAGCCAGTTGGTCACTTGAAAAGCTGTTGTTTCTGTCCAAAGCTAATGTGACCCTGAAGGCAGTGGGACCCTCCATTTTCCCGGTTCCAAGAACTTTTTGCCAATTTTTTTTTGATCATTTGCTGGGCTTGATATACTTCTAGCAATGTAGATGCAATGGTCAAATACCCAGTTATGTCTTTTAGTAATTTACTTACAGACATAAATTCACATACTACATAAGTTCATATCTTAATTTAAAAATAATGTGATTTTCCACTCATATTTCCCAAAATATGCATTTCCACTTTCACATACATCTTTGATATCACGTCTCTATCAGCACCTGACACCATGTTCTTAGCTCATTGTCACACCAAGCTGTTTGGTCTGGCCTGTGTGAATGTGTGTGTGTCCTGGCTCTGGAAATTCATCTCAGGCCACAAGGACCCATTTGTGGTCACTACAATGTAACTGTTACTTTTTTTTTTTAGTTGATATTGCTAAAAGACTGATCTTTAAAAGTGTTCTTTACAATAAGGCTCAACAATTACAGCTATGTAACTGGTAAGAGTTAGTATGTCTGGAGCAAATGCATTTGTCTCCATATTTTTGTAGTGCTAGGCATCTAACCCAAGACTTTATACATGCTATGCAAGCACTCTGCTACTGAGCTAAATCCCCAGTCCCCTTTCTTCTTCTTGGCTGATTCACTCGGGTAACCTCTACAAAGTAACCAGAATTTACTCTAATTGAAGTGATTTGTCTTCGTCAAAAGATCATTTTGTTGTTTTTGGTGGAAGTAGGGTTTGAACTCAGGCTTCACACTTGCAATGAAGGTTCTCTGCCACTTGAGCTACACCCCCAGTCCATTTTTCTCTGGTTATTTTGAAGATGGGGATCTTGTAAAGTATTTCCCCAGGCTGGCCTCGAACCTTGGTCCTCCAGATTTCAGCCTCCCAAGTAGCTAGGATTACAGGTATGAGCCACCAGCACCCACCTTCATCAAAACATATTAGTTCCATATACATGTATAGAAATATCACAGAGAAACCTTTGTACAATTAATATACACTAATTTTTAAAAAACAACAATAAAAAAGAATAGGCATCTTCCAAGTGTGTGGGGGTAGATCTTGGTACCAAATAATGGTACCAAACTTTACAGAAAAGCTTGTAAAGACTTGAATGGAAGACTGCTCCCTTTTTACTAATGTTTTTGGGGAAAATAATTTTGCCTGTTACCTGGCCTCTTCACTACCTTATATTCCTCTTCCAGGGAGGGGACTGAGGCTGTGATTGAACTTCCTCTGGATGGAGAATGGGGAGGGCAGTGGGTGTATTTGGACAGATGAAAACGTAAAGCTGCCCCTTCAATTGTTCTAAGCTCAATAGTGCGATCTGAGTTACTGAAATACAAGACGGTATATAACCAAAATAAAAGCTGTTTATTTAGGTGCTTGCATCCAGGAAGGCCCAAGGGAAAGGTGTTTCCACCCACCCTAGAAACTTGTGAAATTGCATCCCAAAAGGGAGCACAAAGATTTCAGCAGCTCTGTGTCTCAGGATTCTGAATAGAGAAGCAGAAGCCTTTGGAATCTCTTCAGCAACCCTTTAAAGCAGTGGTTCTCAAAGTGTGGTCCCTGGGCCAGCCTCGCTTGAGAACCTGTTAGTGATGCAGAGGGAGGGCTCTGTCCTGAGGTTCCCACTCTGAAAATGGGTGTGGGCTCTGGCAAGCTGTGCCTTCTCCACCTCACACAGCACTTACTTGACACCTGCTGTGGTGACTCCCAAACTCTGAGCACCTTAGAGTCAACTGGGGAGCTCAGCTCCCTTCCACACCAATTAAATCAGAATGACTTGGGGATGGAACTAAACTAATCAGAATGACTTGGGTGTGTTTTCAAGACCAGCTTGTTCTGTGGTGCTGCAGTTTGGGAGCACTAACCTGAGAAAGAGAGAACACATCTTATAGGAAGCATAAAGTTAGACATGTCCTAAAAACAAACAACACCACCAACAAAAAACAGCAGACAAAATGCCCTAAAGATTTTTTTGAATGAAATGGGACCTTATTTTTTTTTAAAAATATCTTCTGATTTAAAATTTTCTGTCTCTGTCTCCACTTGGAAGAACTCAGATTGGGTGCCGCTTACCACTTTATCACACTGCAAGTCACTGAAGACCATGACAGCAATCAGTCGCTACATGGAGCTGACCATCGAGCCCGTACAGCAGGCAAGTGTCCATGGGCCACAGGTGGGTGTCCAGAAGGGTAGGAAGCCATCCTGGAAGGCTTCCTGAAGGAGGTGATGCTTTAGCTTCTGGGATCCATGTGAGGGAGGAAAGTCTTTCACCTCTACCTTCTTAGGTACAATGGCTGAGGACTGTAACTCAAACTGATAGAAGACAGAGGAATAAGAGAGAAAAACAAACCTTTAGTTACTTGTACATGGACGTTCACAAAGAAAATGTGGCTCAAAGTGGTGGCCAGATAGTGAAGGCTTCTATACTATCTTAGGCTAAACACAGGAAAAGGTCAGAGCTTCTGGGGTGGGGAGTGACCTAGAGAAGGGAATGGAAGGTGACGGCATGGTAATGCAGGGCTGTCCTGTTATGCAGAGGAGTTGTCTCTCTCTGTGCACAAGGGGAAGTTTCCTTTATAAAGGTGAATTTCCTTTACAAAAGGCGAAATTTATGTAGTTGGCTCTTTTTATCCATGGGTTCTGCATTCAACCAATTGCAGATTGAAAATATTGTTAAAATTTTGCTTAGTACCGAAAATGTAGTCTTTTTGACTTGTCATTATTGCTTGCACAATATGGCATAAGAACCTTTTTGCATAGTGTTTAGAGATGATTTGAAGTATACAGGGGAGGATATACACAGGTTATATGCAAACTCCTCACCACTTTACATCAGGGATTTGAGCATCCGAGGATATTGGTATCTGTGGGGATCCCGTGGGAGTCCTGGAAGCCACCCCTGCAGATACGAGGGATAACTGTGCTCTACTTTCAGGCGATTAGGGTAGTAAATAGCTTCTCTCACTTCTGCAGGTTTTCACTTGCCTTCACCTCAAAATCATCCAAATGCCAAAGAGACATACTTGAGGTGACATGTTCTGCTGCCCTCCCAGAGTGAGGGGGTGAAAGGGTGGGGAGGAGGCAAGGGTCAGATCACCACACTGCAGGATCTGACTGAGGGTTGTGGGAGCCCAGGAGGCTTCAGTACTGGAATTAATGTCAGCTGTGCATTTTATTTTATTAATGTCTTTTTTTTTTTTTTTTTGGTACTGGGGTTCAGGGCCTTGAACTTGTTAGGCAAGTGCTCTGCCACATGGCCCACACCTTCTGCCTCAGCTGTGTGTTACTGGTGGGCAGGGGAAAGGAGAGTAGAAGCAGGGCAGCCAGTAGCGGACAGTGGGAGGTCCTGAGAAGAGGCAGCACAACTTTAAGCCAAGGCTGGAGCAGATGGAGAGGCAAAGATGGAGTGGAGAGAGTTGTGAAGTAGAAGGTGGGGACTCCACGTGACTCCCAGGGTTCTGGCCCACACTCCAGGTCCTTGGGAAGAAGAGGATGGGGAAAGAGGTGACTAAGACTGCTCTTGTCAAGGTCACCAGTGATGTCCAGGTTGCTGAATCCACGGTCATTTCTGCTCTGATTGAGATTCCACTCATTTAGTCACTGGTATCTGAGTTCCGTTGTCCCCTGCTTTTCTGCTATCTTCACAGGCCATTCATTCCCCATGGCTTCTGTTGGCTTCTTCTGGTGAGTTTGGTTTTGGGTGGGAGTGCCCCAGGTCCATCTAGGAATGCTCCCTTCTGTTGGAGACCCCCCCAGTCCTGTTGCTTTCAGTCCTGGTGCATCAAAGTCCTCAGCCTGTATGTGCACCCTTCCTTCCTCCCAGTTCCAGTCTCCATGCCTGGACGTCTATTCAACAGTGCCACATGGCATCTCACACCACTCCAACACAGAAGGTTGGGTCTCCCTGCCCAGACTGGCTCCTTGCCCATCTTCCTTGTCACGTACAGTGGTTGTCCCTGTCCATGCAGTGGTTCAAGCCAAAAATTCCTTCCTCCCCTCCCTGCTGCATCCCCACATCCATTCAATCCATTTGGGGTCCTATGAATATTGTCTTTAAATAGGTGTGGAGCCCAGCAGTCTCCTGAAGCCGCTCTTCCTCTCCTCTGCCACCCTCGTCTCATCCCTTCATCTGTGCAAGCAGCCAGAGGCTCTTTGACAAACATTGTGACCTTTCTTTGCTTAAAACACTCCCCTGACTTCCCCTTCCACACAGAATAAAATCTAAACTCCTTACAGAGACTCCAGGACCCTCAGGCCCAGGCCCACCCACTCCCTACTGTGTCCGCACTGTGCACCTGCCACGTGCTCCCCCTGTTCTCTGCCCTGTGTCCTTCCTCTCCAGCTGCACAGAGGTTCTCCCTGCTCCTCTGCCCATGGCTGCCTGTTTCTTACCAGACTGCAACCTAGATGTTACCTTCGCCAAAGGCCCTCAGGGAGAAGGAGTGTCCAGAGCTCTGCCCCCTCACTTCACTACCTCTGAAAGTTCTCTGCAAAGCCCTTAGCACACTGACTGATTTCCCTGTGTGCTGTCTCCTGCTGCAGGGTTAACTTTGTCTCCTGTCTTGCCTCTCCTCAGCCCAGACCCTGGGAGTCATGGGCCCTCAGTAGAGGTGCGTTGTGAGCACATTCTCAGTGATGTTACCCCTTCCCAGCTACTCATAGGACACTGGTGCTCCAAGGGAGGAGTTTGGGCTTACTCTTTCCAGTTGTCCCTTGGATGTTGGGTGTGATGCCCCCTGTGTGTGATGTAAGTGAAGTTCAGAGAGTCAGAGCATGTGATTACAGAGAGGAGCCCACTGTGGCCATGACACCCTTCTGATGGGGGGAGGGAGAAGTCCTTGGGAAACACAGAGAACTCTGGTAGCTGCCCAAAGCTGTGCGCTAGATAATTTAAAATCCTGGAACTACTGAAAAAGAAATTTCAGAAGTGTCTCCTGGGATGGGATGCTGGGGTGTAGCTTAGTCGTTCACCGACCTTGTACCTCAGTGTTGCGTGGGTTCCTGCTAGGATTAGTGTTCTTCCAGCATTTTCCCCACTGAAGCCCACAGGCATGTCTGAGCTTCCACTCCACCACTTCCTTCTGTGTCCACCAGAGGGCGAGAGACATCTCCCAGAGAGGGAGCCTAGGGCCCCATTGTCCACCAAGCCTGGGCAGGAAGCCACCTCTGTCAGCTCTAGGGACACCACTTCAGAGCTAACTAACTACTTGCCAGGCTCTAAGTAAATAGTTACAGCCAACCCTCAGCTGGAGCTTATTATGGGCTAGAGTACTGGTCTAAGTCCTTTATATAGGTTAACTCTTATACACATTGCCAGTCCTTGAGGTGGTGTTCTCACTTTACAGACAAGGAGACAGGAGCAAAGAGGGGTTAAGTAGCTTGCTCAAGGTCGCAAAGCTTGTCAGTGGCTGAGCCAGGATTCTGACCTGCCTCTGCCTGAGTTTGCGCCCTTGACCTCCATGCTATATACTGTCTCTTACCTGGCAGCATGTCTGACTCCAAGTAAGCACTTAGTAAATGGTTCACTATTATTATGAATACAAATTCTCATATACTTCCCACCCTGAAGTAGGTACACGATTACTTCTATTTTTAAACCTTATCAACAATTAATAATTATTTTAAATTGAGGCACAGAGCCAGGTACAGTGGCACACACCTATAGTCCTATGAGGCTCACTTCAGGAGGCTGAGTTCAGGACCAGCCTGGACAAAAAAAAAAAAAACAACTCCAGAAAGGCTGGGGTATAGTTTAGTGGTAGAATGCTCACCTAGCATATACAAGGCCTGGATTTAATGCCCAGCACAGGGGAGAGGGAGGGGAATAAATAACTTGCCCATGATCCCACAGCAAATCATAAAAACAGGTTTCAAATGAAACCTGTCTAATTCTAGGGCCTGAGCTTTTATGAAGATAACACTGCCCTGTACTGCCATATCGTACCTGCTCAGTTGGCTGTTACTTGTTTCTCCTTCTTCAATGAGCATGTCCCAGTGACAAGGTTGTGGGGACTGTTGGCACCCTGTCAGCCACATGTGTGATGAAATCCTGTCATGGTGGCCATCTGGAAGTGGGTGAAGGGAGCACACAGGTGTTCTTCCCTGACTCCCAAGAACTGGTCCTAAAGAGATGGTCCAGGAGGTACAGGGGAGCAGCTCAGCCATTCAGGCAGAGCCTCTGGAGGGCAGAGGGGCTGGCTCCCATGAATCAAAAGCCTTATCCTTTCTGGGAACATCTGAAAACTCTGTTCTGTCTGTTGATTCAGGTATGGGCAGGCCCTGGGGGATTGTAGGGTGTAATCTCACTGTTGCCAGTGCACCTGCTTCCCCACCCCGCCCACGGGTTCCTGTTTCAGCCCCCTTCTCCCAGAGAGCAGCAGGGCAGCACCTCACCTGTGTTCCTGGGCAGCTTCCAGAATACTGCCTTTGTTCCTTTGTGGACTTTCTCTGCCTGTCCAGCTGACTCACATGGAACAGCACACTGACCCTGTCGAGGGCTGAGCTTGCTTAATTTGGGGCCCAGCACTCTAGCCACTCTTCTCATGTGTCCCGGGTATGTACATTGGAGCTCCACGACACCCCAATGGCCCCCCTTCGACAGAGGCTAGGCCTTTGATAGGTTAGGAAATGGAGACTCAGAGGGCAAATTTCCTTCTGAGGTTACAAGGTTAATTAGTGAAAGATCCCTGTTCAGGAAACAGGGTTAGTCTGAGTGGTGTGTCAATGGAAAATCCAAAATCTTGCATGACTCTTAAAGTCCAGCTGATGAAGCTTTGCTGATCTCTGAGGAACCCCTCATCCCAGCTCTGTGAGAGAATAGGTAGCTAGCTAGGCAGATAGATGATAGATAGATAATTTCACAAACGTGTTCTTCCTGTACGATCTAACTCGTTCATCTGCTGCTGTGGTATGAGTTGCAAAGCCTCCATGGAGTGTACCGTTGGCACTGAGTGTCCAAATGCATGGTCCCTTCTAGCCCGCAATTCTGCCTTATGAGTTGACCCTCTAAGTACCCTGAAATCTTGGGTGTCCAATATAACTTACTGCAGTCAGCATTGATTGGAAAAGTGATAGGTTGGAAATACACCCTAAGCATTCATCAGTAGGGGACTGGTTAAATGGATTATGAGCACCTATAATGCTCCCAAACTTCTGATATAGAACTATCTCTAAGGTATACCGTTAGGTGAAATAAAGTGTAGAAGAGAAAATAGTGTGTGCTACCATGTCTGGAAATAGGGAAACACACACGTGTATTTGAGCGTGTACATGAGAGCCTGGTAGCCTCTGCATGCAGAAGGATGAGGGTGCAGATAGACACTGCACTGCACACCCTTTGTGCCCTTAGAATTCCGAAGTATGTGAGTGCTTTAGCTATTCAAAAGCACAGTCATGTAAGTATCGCTGCTTGTCCTCTCCCACACATCTTGCAGGCAGGCTGCAGTGCCACCAGGCTGCCCGGGGATGGACAGATGAGCACAGGAGACACGTCCCTGCAGGAGCCTCCCTCATATCCTCCTGTTCAAGTCATCCGGGCCCGAGTGTCTTCCAGCAGCTCCTCTGAGGTCTCCTCCATCAACTCTGATCTGGAGGTACTGGGCCTGTCTGGCAGTCGGGTGCATGGCTGTGTCTTTCACCAACACTTGCCAGCGCCTCGTGGGGCTGGTATTGCTCCTCTCTAATCTTACCTGTGCTAACCTCACGTGAATCTCCTTGAGGCTCCCAGTCTGCCCAAAGAGCCACTCAAACTGGGACACGATGGAGAAGCTTCCACAGTCAGTTAGATTGGGAACACTGTACATTCAAGTCCTACGGAAACAAATGCAGGAATAGTAAAAGTCTCAGTGTTTCCCAACCCATGTGATCATGGGAGGAACCGCAGTTCCAGCTGTGCTGCTAGTGGTGACCTATGCAGGCGGGCTCCACGGTAGGTGCCATGCCCAGCACTTCAAAAATCTTTGCCTCATTTTGTATTTGTTAACAAAGTGTGTGCCACATCTTCGATTTGCAAACAGGTGTAACTCTCAGGTCTGAACTGGCCTGACACTCTCAGTCCCATAGCTGTACATCTCAGTCCCATTCAACAAGGAAGGTGCCATTTGTCAGAGTTAAAATGAGAACAAGGACAATGTAGTGGTCACGAGTGTCGGCAAGAGGGCACCAGCTGTTTTTTGGTGGTGAAAGGACTGTCTTGTTGAGTTTGTGTCCTTCCAACTTTTTTGATATTAAATGTTCTTGTATGAAATGATGGTAATAAAAAGTGGTATTTGCTGTTGAATTTTTAGTTTAGGTTTGGTTTGATTTTTAATGGCCTTATTTGGCAAAATAATCAGTTATCTATCCTGAGTCCCCATATTTGTCAAACTCATAGTGGACTCTGAAATCCAACACTTGGAGCCACTGGTGGTTTGATAAATCCCAGATTCCTTAGTGTTATCTTCCAGACCTACCTGAGCCTGCCCAGCCTCATGCTATCCCCTGCCCTCATCTGGTACTCTCTCCAAGCCTTGGACTCTTCTCTGTCCCCAGGCCTCTGGGCCTTTCCTGCTAGGGTTCCCTCTGGCTCCATTTGCATGGGTCAGAATCCTACCCAGATGCTACCCGTTGTGTGAAATCACCCCCTCCCCCCAGGGTCAGTAGCTCTCTCCCCAGAGTGCTAGAACAGCCAGAATACACACTTTCTTGCCCACCTTCCACTGTTGGCCATTTGCCCTCGAGATTGTGGGGGCATGCTGCCATTGTCTTTCCCTGTCCCTCCATCCTGGAACACAGCTGGTTATTGAGAGGAGGGTTGGAGTTAAGAATTGTGCACCCTTTAGGGTGGATTCCTCAGTCATTTGGTGTTGTATATTTTTCAGAATGTGTAGGACACCAAGGCCTGTGTTTGGCAGCCTGGCAGTCATGGCCCATAGTCACCACCAAGGTCTGAGGCTAATGGGGAAAGGAATGATCTTGACCACAGTCAGAGGAAAGGACAGGTGGGTCAGTCAGGAAAGGCAGGGAGCAACATTTGCTCCATGGCATTAAAGCATCTCGTCACCTTGCCCATTCCCCTCCCTCCAGCTGAAGTGCTAAACAGTGGCCTTGCAAAATCAGAAATCTGCCCTTGTGGCTAATTTGGGCTATTTCTCTGTTTTGCAGTTGTTTTTATTCATTCTTCCCTGATTCTGTATTCTATCTGTTTTTAGAATTCTGTTGTTTAAAATAGGCAAAGTCTAAGGGCCCATGTCACACTCTTAAATTAGGCAAGTGGAAATAAATGCTTTGCCCATACTAAAAGGAATAACTTTTAGAAGTTCAGCTGGCCGGGCCCCACCCTGTCCCCAGCACAGGCTTCCTACTTCAGATCCTAAGCCACACATACTCTAGATAATACAGTTCCTGAGGCTCATGAAGAGATAGCTAACACTGAGCTGCTCTCACACTGGCAGGTCAGACAGGATTGTGGAGCTCATATTGGCTGTTTAATTTATGAGCAGGAGGCCGTGTAACTTTTTTCAGGTATCTGAGCCATCAGGCCTTGTAGCAACCCACATTTTTTGTTTTTTAAGTCTCAGCTATTCAGAATGCTGGGGCGAAAGGATCACTTGAAGTCATGGATGTGAGACCAGCCTGAGCAACATGGCAAGACCCTGTCACATCACTAAACAAACACAAATAAATTACATGTTTTGGATAAAAATTTTGGCAAACATTTTTAAAAAGTAAAGAAGAGAATTAAAATTAGCCCCCAAGGCTACGAATCAGCGGCCTGCAGTGGGCTGGCATGTTTGACGCAGGTCTTGGTTTTAACTCACTGAGTAACCCAGGCTGGTCTTGGACTTGAGGTCCTCCTGCATCTATCTTCCTAATGCTGGTATGACAGGTATGCACCACCACACAGGGCACCATGCTCCTGGTTTTTAAAGATCCTGGTCTGTTGTGGTTGAATATGAGCAGGAAGGTGTCTTTTAACAGATGGGTAAAATGGAACACTCCAACCAGCCATCTGGTTACTCATTCAGCAAACGTTTTTCTGAGGACAGGAATTTAAAAGGAAAATGCTTGAGGACAGAGGACCAGCCCAGACTTACCCATAGACTAGCGGGTACTGTAGTTAGTAAATTGATCACAGAAAGAATCTGATCCCATGCCTCATGACTTCAGAGCACACTCCTAAAGGACAGAAGTGTGTAGGTCACTTCTTGTGCTCTGTGACCTCTCTTGCTCCCAGCTTTGTCATTCACATGCTTCGTGGGATTGGACTCAGACACCCAAGGCATCTCTCCCCACTCATGGGCTGTCCACACCCTACCCCTGCCCTGGATTCTACTGAGGTGTCCCCCACACACACTTTGTTCTGCATCTGTTACTGACCCCCTGGGCTTCTGCTTGAGCCCTTGGGTGAATGCTTCCAACTCCCACTGTCCAGGCCTGTGGGCCTGGGAGCCACTCTGACTTTAAGGTTATGTGTCTATCAGTAGATAAACATGGTCTTTTATCATTTCCTAACTTAAGTCAGAGATGGTGGTTTTCTGTCTGTGTCTTAGGGTGTGTTCCAACTGTACTGAATGCCTACTTCCTGCAGTACGCTTAGGGGAAGTGGAGAAATGAAGGCTGCCTTAACAATGTGTTGTAGCCACGGCCCTCTAGCTCACCACGTGTTTCTAATCCATTAATCAGAATTACAGTGCTCATTGCTAATGATGACTGTGTACGGTGCCCTGTGCTAGGCACTATATGGTCTGGTGAATATTTTACAAGCACTGTTTGTTTCAACAGCTCTGAACAGAGATCTGGGGCTAGATGAGTTTAATGAATTAGCCTAAAGAAACATAAGAAAAAGAAAGCTGGGTATGATGGTGCAAACCTGTAAACCCAGTCCTCCAGAGGCTAAGGCAGGAGGATCACTTGTTCCAGACCACCCTGGGCTACATAGCAAGACCCTGTCTGAAAACAAAAACAAAAAATGGGTGAGGCTAAGAAGGAGATAGAAAAGAAGGCAGACCTGGGATTTGAACTTATCTCTGTCTTCACTTGCTAACCACTGCTCTTCATTGCCCTGGCAGAGATAGTACCCAAGGGGCTATACAGGACCATGTTTATTATCCATTATTCCCATTATACAGATGAGAAAACTGACTCTGTCTAGTCTTTTTTCCCCCCCTCCATTAAATTTCCTCCTCTCCCTTGCCTAGAGTCTTTGTACTTACCTGTGTCCTGTCTCTGGACACAGGTCTGCCTTTTTTTCTATCTCCTTCTTAGCCTCACCCATTTTTTGTTTTTGTTTTGAGACAGGGTCTTGCTGTGTAGCCCAGGGTGGTCTGGAACAAGTGATCCTCCTGCCTTAGCCTCTGGAGGACTGGGTTTACAGGTTTGCACCATCAAACCCAGCTTTCTTTTTCTTATGTTTCCTTAGGCTAATTCATTAAACTCATCTAGCCCCAGATCTCTGTTCACAGTTGTTGAAACAAACAGTGCATCCTATCTAGTATAAGGGAAAACACTGAGATTTACAAAGAAACCCAGTGATGTTACATAAGAAGGATGAGACAAGACCAGGAATACATGCAAGCTACTATGAAGGGAGAACATGGGTGTTTTCATCCTGATTCAAGTGTCCCACTGGCTGTGTACCCAGTTGGTAAGGGTACCAGATGAGTGTGGCTGATAGCCATGTAGAGAGGCCATTTGCTTGGGCTACATAGATTTTCAGACATCTGTCCAGGGGATGGTACACTCCACAGACTGGACCCATTCATTCCCTCATTCACCACTCATTCAATAGAAGGGCAGCCCCACTCCTGCAGGGTATCCCAAGGGCACATTAAGCAGATATTGAATAAGGGCCACTGAGCTCACAGAGTCCTAGTCTATAGGTGAGGACAGAGGCCAGAGGCAGCAGGGCCTGCAGGAGTAGCCTCTCACTTTCCAGGCAGCCAGCACCTGTATTCCAGCTGCAGGGCTGATTTCCGCCTAACACTGAAGATACCATGTACATCCTTGTTTTTACTTGAAGGGGGCCAGAGGCATGAGTGTAGGAGAGATTTAAGAAACTAGGGAAGGGCCAACTCCCTGTGAAGTGTCTGAAGGCTGCTGCTTCTGCACCTTCCAAAGACTTCTTTTTCTTTCTTTCTATTTACTTATTTATTTTTGTGGTACTGGGGCTAAAACTCAAGGCCTACACTTTGAGCTACTCCAGCAGCCCTTTTTTGTGAAGGGTTTTTTTTCGAGATACAGTCTCTCCAACTATTTACCTGATCTCTGCCTCCTGTGTAGCCAGCAGCGCCCAGCCTTTCTGTCTTTCTTTAGCCTCCAAGATTCTGAAGATTGAGTTCAGCTTTTAGACCACCTGATCACTCTTGTCCTTCTGAGCTCCCCAGCAATGTCATAGACTGGTATAAGCTGTATAGCAATTCTGCAAGGGGCTATCTCTGTCACTGGAACACAGTGTGCACACTGAGGGATATGTGTGGTGGGAGCTGGTGCAGTCCTCTGTGTGTGTGTGTGTGTGTGTGTGTGTGTGTGTGTATGCTTATGCATATACATGCACATGTGTGCATGCTGAGTGCATGCAGTATATATGTATGGGCATGGAAAAAGTGTCACACAC